GCAGCGCTCCCTCCCCTCAGATGACCTTGAACGCTCAGTATCACTCATGGCGGGGCATTTGAAATTACTCTGAAATTTCTGGATATCACATATATATATATATATATATATATACACACATACCTACATATATATGCTGATAACCACAAGGAAAGAAGAAAACACGAACTTCCCAAGCGCTTTCGTGTAATTCACATCTTCAGGGGTGAGTACAGACTAGAGAGAGTAATACAAATCTAGGTGTATATATACAGAGGAGGGTGAGACCAGGTCCACAATGATCAGGTATTAGGTAATGACCCTACTAATCTTTAAATAGCACACAACGGTTGGTGGTCAGGTCAGACGGTCAAGTGACCCGGCCTTCTCACCTGATCACAAATCTTCTTAATTACAAAATTGTCCAGCTTGTACATGCCGTTACTCAAATTCATGTTGAATGCTTCGGTATGTTTAATAAGACTAGATTCTATGATGTTCCTACTATCAATTGAATTACATGGTAATATTGAGGAGGTATATATATATATATATATATATATATATATATATATATATATATATATATATATATATATATATATATATATATATATATATATATATATATATATATACATAGAACAGAGTCATGTGGGTGATGTCACTGTTCGCTGCCATGTAAGACAGTGGTTCATATACATTTGCCGTCATATTCTAATTGAAGACTAATCAGTGTGGGCTAGCAAATTTGGGATAAACGACAAGAATGTCCCCAAGCACCCCCGATTCAATATAGTAATTACAAAGTTCATGATACAATCAGCCCGATGGCCTGAAGTCTTTGACAGTATCTCATTCAATAATATAGTGTTCAAGTGTATGCTTTAAAGGTTTATCACAAAGTTTACATGCTGAGTATTCCGGTATGGGTACAGCGTTACTAACTTGCCAGATGTGTCTGTATCCTAGCCTAATTCTGGCCACGACTACATCACATTGTCTGGTTCTGTCCTTATGCTGGCCATACCGGTACCTCTTGTTACAAAATTTGTCATATTTACTAACGCTACAACTGGCAGGTCTCTCTGCATTTCTCACTTCTTCTAGATCAGAGTTCATGATTCTGACTTGAATGTTTTTAATTACAGCATTGGACAGGCCACTGTCACGGTCAACATTTTCTTTCTTACATGCCTCATTGGCCAGTCTATCAGCACCGCCATGATACCTAATTCCAACATGGGACGGGATCCACACAAATTCGATACGAGAGTTGTTCTCATTGGCACTTATCACATGTCTTTTAATATCACATACAACTTTAGGCACAAAACCAGCAGTAAAAGCATAACATTCTCTTGATTTAATACTCTATATGTGTCTGTTAATAGTTTCTAGTGTGACACATCTCACCACATTGGTGTTTAACATTTGCTTACTACCAACAGGAGTGTAATTAATAGGAACTGATAAGAACATAAGAATGGAGGAAACTGCAGCGGGCCTATTGGCCCATACTGGGCAGTCCCGTTTACACCCAACCCCTATTGCTCATATGAGCATCCAACCTATGTTTGAAGCAATTCAGCGTATTCGAGTTAATGATGATATTTGGTAACTTGTTCCATTCATCCACTACTCTGTTTCCAAACCAGTGTTTACCTATTTCACGCCTAAATCTAAATTTGTCTAATTTAAACCATTGTTACGAGTTCGCTCCTGTTGGATAGTTTGAGTACCTTTGTAATGTCCCCTTTGTTTAGCCCTGCCTTCCACTTATACACCTCTATCAGGTCGCCCCTCGCTCTACGTCTCTCAAGGGAGTGCAAATTAAGATGCTTTAACCTGTCTCTATACTCAAGGTTCCTAATGCCCGGGATTAGTCTTGTCATTCTCCTCTGAATTCTTTCCAAGGATTCTATATCCATTCTGTAATACAGTGACCAGAACTGAACTGCGTAATCCAGGTGTGGTCTCACAAGAGCAAGATACAGTTTTAGGATGACCTCCCTAGTCTTGTAACTAACACTCCTTTGTATGAACCCAAGTACTTTATTAGCTTGTTACGAGCAAAAACACATTGTTTACTTGGCTTAAGGTTCCTACATATCATTACTCCTAAATCTCTCTCGCAGTCGGATTTCTCTATGGCATCGTTGTTCATCTGGTATCTGGTTTCCCTGTTTACATCTCCTATACTGAGTACTTTACATTTGTCCACGTTGAATTTCATCTGCCATTTTTCAGACCATTCGAAAAATTTGTTTAGATCTTCCTGTAGTTTTGCCGAGTCCTCGTCAGATTTGATAACACGTCCTATTTTAGTGTCATCAGCAAATTTACTTATGTTGCTGTCAATGCCGATATCTATGTCGTTTATGTAATAATAAATAATAATGGTCCAAGTACTGAGCCTTGGGGAACTCCACTTGTGACGTTGCTCCAATGGGACTTAGTGCCGTTAATGCTCACTCGCTGTTTCCTGTCCTGTAACCACGCCCTAATCCATTTAAGGATGTCACCTTTGATGCCATGAGCTTCTACCTTTCTAATTAGTCTTAAATGGGGACTCTGTCGAAGGCTTTGCTAAAGTCGAGATATACCACATCATAATTGTGCCCCTCGTCCACCGATTCGAAAACTGATGAAAAGAATGTTAATAGATTAGTTAGGCAAGAACGTCCGCTTGTGAAGCCATGCTGGGAATCATTGATCAATCGGTGCTTCTCCAGGTGATTTCGAATAGAGTTTGAAATGATTGCTTCCAGTAATTTGCCTACTATTGATGTTAGACTGATTGGGCGGTAGTTAGAGGATAGTGATCTATCCCCCTTCTTGAAAATCGGTATTACATACGCTATCCTCCAGGATTCTTGTACTACACCTGTTTTTAATGACATCTTAAACAACTTTGCTAAGGGCATACTATGCTCTTCCTTACATTCCTTTAATACTCTGGCAAATATCTCATCGGGACCAGGTGACTTATAGGCTTTAGTTTGTCTATTTGCTTACTAACATCGTTACTAGTCACTACTATCTCACTTAATTTGTTTTCTTCACTATCTCTGAATAGAGTCGGTGCCTCGGGTATCATGTTTAAATTTTCGGTGGTGAAAACTGTTGAAAAATATTTATTCAAATTATTGCTCATTTCTCCGTCATTATCAGTGAGCTCGCCGAAGTCTGACCGTATTGGTCCAATCTTTTCTCGTGTTTTAGTTTGATACATTTGGTAGAATCCTTTGGGGTTTGTCTTCGCCTCCCTTGCTATCCTTACCTCATTATTCCTTTTTGCTTTCCTTATCTCGGTTTTAACCCTACTCGCCAATACCCTATAATAGTCCCGGAGGTGAATTTCGCCACGATTTATCCTTCTACTTATAGCCTTTCTTTGGCCAATGATGTTCTTTAAATAATGATTTATCCATTTAGGATCATTGTTGTCTGATATGAGTTTTTTGTATGGTATGTTCTGCCTTTGTGCATTAAGTTACCCACTATTTATATTGTCGTGGAACTCGGCAATCTCAGATCTCGTTATCAGGTCGGTGTCATCTGTCAGGTTCACAGCCAAGCGCTACACCCCTTCTCTCAGCTGCCTCTTTAAACTGTCAAAGTTTGCCCTTCTGATATATCCAGCCAAGGAGGAATGGCATTAATAGGTTCGTCTGGGGTGATTGGGACATTCAGTTTCAAGAGATGTGCATCACTTTTATGAAGCCACGCCCCAAAGAGAGTCTTTTGTGGATGGTTGGCGAGATGGTCTGGATTACTTAGATAGAACATCAAATCAGTTTGTGCTATAGATTGGGGACCATTGTTCTTCAAATGTTTGACACAAAACATGGTATTAAGTAGAGCTATCCTCTCAGATAGGTAGGGCAGTCCGAGCTCTTTCCTCATGCTTACAATTGTGGTTGATTTTGGGCATCCTAGAATGATGCTGAAAATCAACCAAGTATATGCTGATAACCACAAGGAAACAAGAAGACACCCCTGAAGATGTGAATTACACTAAAGCGCTTGGGAACTTGGTGTTTTATTATTTCCTTGTGGTTATCAGCATATGTATATATATATATATATATATATATATATATATATATATATATATATATATATATATATATATATATATATATATATATATATATATATATATATATATATATATATATATATATATATAACCAGTTTTGGTAATGCTAAGTTACTTAACCTAATGAAACCTACCTAACCTAACCTAACCACGACTAACTTAACTAATCTAATGTTCAGTTAAGTTATGGTAGGCTGGGCTTGATAAAGATAGTATACATTCGGTTTTGCAAGGTTCAATTAGATTAAAATTGTTTACATTATACGAGTTGACTAGTCATTACACCAAATAGCTGATTACACACTTTGTATCTTATATATACTCTCTCTCTCTCTATATATATATATATATATATATATATATATATATATATATATATATATATATATATATATATATATATATATATATATATATATATATATATATAAAGCTAGTCATAACCCAACATTTCTTAATTTATCACATCACTAAATTCAATGATGGATGAGTCCACCCCAGCACCTGGAGATGTGACCCACGAGAAGGCTCGCTGGATGTGTGCGAGGTGGCAGGCAGCCAATCTACTTTGGCAGTCTGTGACAGCCAGGACTCCAGATAATGACTGGTCATACACGTTATATTGCTGTAAATGTATTTGGGTGTGGCTCTGCCTCACTTCCTTCATATACTGTTCGAACATCTCAGAATAATAACAAAATGGAATTTCAACTACCCTATTATGTAAGTTATGTCTTAATGCATCTAGATTTCTGCACAGCTGTACACTGATCATGTGTGCAGTCTCCTCGCGTGAAATGTGGCCAGGTATATTTAGGTGCCGATTTCTGTCCATCTTGTCTCCCTGTCTCCACCGCTGCACACATCTATACACAGTGGACATGCTGGTGTTAGTTTCTTGGGATATTTTCCTTACTGGCATGCCGCCCAGCCACAGACGCACAATCCTGGCGTGGTCTGCTGCCACCTGGCGTTGCTTTGGTGTTTGCTTCTTCATGGCATTAACTCTGTCAAACGGAAGTGTGAAATTCGTAGGATTTAGCAGCTGGCCAGTAATGTACAAAAACTAATATACGGATTATTGAAATTATTTATAAGTGTATATGTCCTTATTTATATGCAGAAGGGTGGACATCATATTTCCATGATAACACAAAATACAAATTTGTTTGATTAATTACCATTATTCATTCACCTGTGCATATGTGTTGTTGAAGGATCCTCTCCTAAACACTAACTGGGAGTGAATAAATGTATGTTGGCTCTTATCAGTGCTGCTTGTTTTGTTCATTGCCTATTTTTTGACATGAAGTGAATCTTTGTCGAGAGAAACACATTTAAGGGCGGCTCTGATTACTTTGTAACAAGGACTACTCTAATATATATATATATATATATATATATATATATATATATATATATATATATATATATATATATATATATATATATATATATATATATATATGTTAGCGGGAGAGAAAAGGAGAGGAGAGAAGACAAATGCTGCATTTAGCACGTTAAAGGGGTGAGATGCAGTCCTTAGAACAAATTTTAGGGGGGTCGTATGTATGTTTTTCTCAGCACATGAGGACAGTGCTGTTTTTTTTTAGGGGGGTCGATTGTAATATTCAGAAATTTCAGAGTAATTTCAAATGCCCCGCCATTAGCGATACTGAGCGTTCAAGGTCATCTGAGGGGAGAGAGCACTTCCTGCTCGTAGCGAGAGATTGCGGAACTAGGCCTATATGATATTAAATGTAATTTACCGAATTAATAATGATGCGATTCATGAAGTAAGGGACTATTATTGAATTTGAAATTATTATAGATCGTTTATCAGTCTGAATAATGTTACGGGTGTCCCAAGGAGTTATTAGTTAGGCGGAAAATATGTCACGTAGGCCCAAGCTAACGCCTTGAGGAGACGCGACGCTGGCTAGGTCTCAGTCGCGGGGAGGATTCATACAAAACAAGACGTCCCTGCGCGTCTGGCACAGAAATAGTCACGTGGCCTAGTCACCTGTGCTGCGCTATTGCAGTATAACAAGTAAGTCTCATTCGATCTCAGACAGGGTTAGATAGGGCAGTGGTAAAGTAAACTAGAGCTAACAGTGAGTTCATTTCAGGGTTTCCGTCAGAACCCACTTGACTGGAGTTGACCGGAGTTTGACTGCAAGAGATTGACTGCCGTTTGAGACTGCCGTTGATGATTGAGGGTGGCGTTTGTCGCCATTGGACCGATCAGAGTAGGCCTGTCACTGTTTAGTGGGGTACCAAAGGATCTCTTGAGGGAATCTAGCCGTCCACCCGGACGGCTCTCAACACGTCGGCTCACAACACCACATGTCCCGAGCCGCTTAGTGAAACCCTCTTGCTAACGGGAAGCTAAAGCTCCTCTCAACTGCACAAGGTCTGATTGGCTCACTCTCTTCCTGCCCATGGACGCACTGGGAGTACACTGAGGCTATCTGAGTATATTAATGGTCACACACTGAGACCGTGAGTCTAGGACTCTAGGAGATACCTAGAGGAACATTTTATCTTCCTTATTACGGGTGTAGTTAACACCATTCCTCAGACTGATATTATCTTGACGTGTGTAGTTTAATATTTCTTAAATAATTTTGATAGTAGGGTTTTTTTGAATGTTTGTGTCATTAAGTGGAACCAGAGTGATACTGTGAATTGATTCTTTAATGCATCTGATTGTTCTTCATAGTTCTGATCTCAAGTATAACCTTGTTCCCCAGAGTAGTGGTTAAGTTAGGTTAGGAAGTGTGCATCTGTTGGGGTAATATAATTTTGTTGAAAGCCCTTAAGGCCTATTCATTGTAGAGTATTTAATTTCTTATTTTTATTACCATTTCCTCGGTGACCGATATTATTTTGTTGAAAGCCCTTAAGGCCTATTCATTGTAGAGTATTTAATTTCTTATATTTTATTACCATTTCCTCAGTGACTGATATTATTTTGTTGAAAACCCTTAAGGCCTATTCATTGTGGAGTATTTAATTTCTTATTTTTTAGTACCATTTCCTAAGTGACTGATATTATTTTATGAAAGCCCATAAGGCCTGTGTAGTGATGGTTGTCAGACCACAGCTTACATCTCAGAAACTCTAGGCCTTCCCTAGGTCAAGTGTAAGGGTATCCCTCGCAGGTGCTCAAGGATGTTGTAAATCAACTAGCTCCCCCTCCCATGTCACACATGTAAGAGGGCACCAGCCGGCTCTCTCCCAATATACACAATGTCCTACATCGCGAGGAAAGCCAGACTTGACCCGACATTAGCCGAGGTCAAAAGTATAGGGTAACTCTGCGGTTGACCAAGGATTGTAAATCAGCCTAGCTCCCCTCCCATGTGACATGTGGCCCCAACAAAACATGTAAGAAGGCACCAGCCGACTCTCTTCCAATATACAATAACCTACTCTCTGAACAAAGGCCGACATGACCTCACATTAGCCAGGTCAAATGTAACCCTTGGAGCCCAACTCAAGGGGCCACAAATCAACCAGGGCCTCTTGTGTCACACGGCCCCACCTGATGACTTCTCCTTACATCTCAGAAACTCCAGTCTGACCCGACGTTTGGGAGGTCAAGTGTAGGGGAACTCTCACGGTTGCTCTCCCAATATACACACGGCCCCACCTGATGACTTTCCCAGATAGTTCTGAAAAGTCCAGACCTGACCTCTCATTTGCGAGGTCAAATGTAAGGAGACCCTTCGCCGCCCCCCCCCCCCGGCCAGCTGAACCTGACGGCTCGCATCCCAATATATAGGACGTCCTGGTCCTCCCTCGGGAATTCGCAGAGAGAGAGTTGTCTTGTAACAAGGTGGCCAGCTACTACACCACCAGGCCTGCTCGAGAGAAGTCAAGGGCCGGAGGCAAGTCGCCTCCGGTCAGGACCGAGACTTCCCTCCGGCGCCCAGCTAAGCAGTCTCCCATAGAGACAACCCAGGACTACCTGCTAGGCCTCCCCTAGGTCACGTGAGTGTTTGTCAGAGCTTTCCATGGGATGAGTTACCTACGTGGGAAGTGTATTCATTTCATGTTCGTGTCCGAGAATCAGAGTGTCTAGTAACGTAAGATGATGTCCTAGTAACGTAAATATAATGTCCTAGTAACTTCAATAGAAGGTGTTATTAATGTGTCCATGTCATGTTCGTGATTAATAAAGAGTTGTAACGAAGCAGTGTTTAAGAAGTCGCCTTTAAGAACGTGATTGATGTGTATTGACGTGTAAGACACGACCAGTGTACGATAAGAGTAAATAACTATCACGGCCACGCTACCAAAATCTTCCTCTCTTTTATACTCTATCTCTATATCTTCTACTCTTAAATCTTTGTCTCATTACACCTGTTCATGTGTGCAAGCAACATTTCTTAATACTTCAAATTTATTGTTGCCTGTGTTTCTAATAATTTCTATGTCATGTATAACTTTATTCCCCAGAGTAGTGTTTTAAGTTTAAGTTAAGAGGTGCGCATATTGGTGTACCATTATTTGATTGTGTTTGTAGTGTTGGAGGGAATATAAGTGTCTAAATTTTACAGTGTGTCTCATTCATCCCAGTCACAGACGCTATCCTTCCACGGGTCACGGACAATTCATTTTGTGAAGTAGATTTAAGTGTTCTTGTGCTGGTTCGGGATTTTTCTCAAAGGGGCGCTTCCACTGCCATTACCATCTATTAAATTTTAATAAACCCCAAGTCAAGTGAGAAATTAAAGTCCAGCAAATTCCGACCGGTTACATATATATATATATATATATATATATATATATATATATATATATATATATATATATATATATATATATATATATATATATATATATATATATATATATATATATATATATATGAGGATATGAAGACATTCTATAATATATTTTACTCAGATGGGTCATACCAATGACTGGAATGATTCACCCATAATATACAAATCTAATTGAAGTTTTTTAGAAAAAAAAGTGCTGAGTCAGAATATGAATAAAAAAATCCAAATTTCAACAGGTCTCTAGGACAGTGTTCCTCTTATTTACCTTAAAGCTGAAGACCAGATATTAACATAAAAACATAAGAATATAAGAATGGAGGAAACAGCAGCGGGCCTATTGGCCCATACTAGTCAGTCCCATTTACACCCAACCCCTATCGCTCATATATCCATCCAACCTATATTTGAAGTTACCTAGCTTGTTTCGGTTAATTATGATGTTTGGTAGCTTGTTCCACTCATCCATCACCCTATTTCCAAACCAATGTTTACCTATCTTGCTCCTAAATATAAATTTGCCTAATTAAAAACCATAGCTACGAGTTCGCTCCTGGTTCGATAGTTTTAACCTGACTTTTATGTATACACTTCGATCATATTGCCCCTTACTCTACGTCTCTAGAGGGAGTGCAAATGAAGATGCTTTAACCTGTCTCTGTACTTAAGATTCATAATGCCCAGGATTAGTCTTGTCATTCTCCTCTGAATTCTTTCTAGGATTCTACAGTATATTCATTCTGTAGTACGGTGACCAGAACTGAACTGCGTAATCCAAGTGAGGTCTTACTAGCACAAGATTTAGTTTTACGATGGCTTGTGCTCAAGTACTTTGTTAGCCTTGTTTCAAGTAAATACACATTGTTGTCTTGGTTTAAGATTCCTACTTATCATTACCCATAAATCATTCTCACAGTCGAATTTCTCTATAACAATGTTGTTCATCTGTTATCTGGTTTCTCTGTTTACATCTCCTATACTGAGTACTTTACATTTATCCACATTAAATTTAATCTGCCATTTTTCAGACCATGCGAAAAAGTTGTATAGATCTTCCTGTAGTTTTGCGGAGTTCTCGCCAGATTTAATTACACATCCCATTTCAGTGTCATCAGCAAATTTACTTATGTTACTGGCTACGACTAGAGCTATGTCGTTTATGAATATAATAAATAGTAATGGTCCAAGTACTGAGCCTTAGGGCACT